AGATGAGTGTGTGCAGCTCTAGGTGCCTTTGCTGCAAAATCAAGAGATTAAAACTAGAGATATGTCTCCCACTTGGAAAAAAATACAAGCTTTCTCTATGAGCCGACATATTTAGGGCCAGGAATGACAATCTGAATGTGGAATTTAATTCTGGATTGGAGCCTACTGTATTTTATCAGATGACATTCCTGTAACTGTAGTCCGTGAAAATGACACTCCCATGGGATATAACACTGCGGAGACCAAGAATACAGAATCAGTCGTGTTGCTTTTTGATTTATTATTTTTGCATATACTGTTTTGTGGGGTTTCTGGAACACTTCCACCAAAACAAATGTGGGCACTTTTACATCATTTTAAAAAGACAAATATAAGTTGCTTGCAAGTCCCAGCTCTAAGGAGATATCCACAAGATAAACAGAAAATTTCCCTTCCTTTGTCATCCTCATACCATCTATTTAGGCAAAGCCAGGGAAGCAGCATGGTTCTTTGTAATTTTCTTTGTCATCTAGGAGACACAGAGCTTTTGCAGACTTCTATAAAACAGAGTTTCTGAAGGTCTCTTTTTCTCCTAAAATTATGAGTCACTTTAGTTCACTGTCCCAAGTCTAGTATCATCTCTAGTATCAAAGGGGACTCTAGTCCCAAGCAATAATTTTCCATTATCATCTGATAGTAAAAACTGAGGATGTGGTTGCAGACATTTGAGTGCCTGTTTGGGCTCTTGTGATGACTGGGGGAAGGGAGATCTGTTCCCCTCAGGCAATAAGGGTGCAAGCCAAAAGTGACATGGTAGTAATCCCACTGCTTACTGTGTTGTGACGTGTTGATAATCCTCCACAAGCAAGTTGGGAGGAAGTTCATTGTGAAAAAATGGCTAGCCAGAACAAAATCCTGGCTTAAGACATGATATATAATATATATAATGATATATAATATATCATAATATAATATAATATAATATAATATAATATAATATATATAATAGAAGATATATAATATAATATAATATAATATAATATAATATATAATTTTTATTTCTATTTTTATTTCTATTTGTATTTCTAGTTCTACTTGCATTTGTATTTATATATAATATAAATATACTTATATGCACAAAGTAACAAAATTTTGTGCTCGCTCCTTTTTACATGCTTCGCTGTACAGCGTAAGGGAACTTGAAGCTACCTTGGAAGTGCAATTAAATGAGCACCTGTGTATTATGCTGTCTGCATTTGCATGTGTGAGGCACAGTCAGAAAATAATGCCAGCAAGTTCCATTTATAGATAAATGTATGCAGTCTTGGTGTTTTGGGGGTTCTATAACATGCTGAAGAGGAAAAGAATAAATTAAACTGGCCCACCCTGCATATACAAAATTATGTCTTTTTCTGCCAACATTCATTTTTTTCCACAACTGGGACAATATAGAAAATAAAATACTGTGTAAGGACACAAATATGCCGCTGAATCAGAATTTGCCTTTGCTGCCTGAGTGACAATCAGTTGACGTTCAATTATCATGTTAATTGAATTAAAGCAAAATGGAAATGACTTAATTCCATAACTATATGTTCCTGTCAAGTTGCTTATTTAATAATTGTTGCTTGCTTGACAGAGGACAAGAAAATGACCTTATAGGAGATTTCTAAGATGCTATAAATAAAATTAAATACTCCCACTATACCATATAGATAAGTAACAGAACAGAACCCTGCTTTATGATACAGGAAAAATGTTAATTGTATTATTGGATATGATGTGTTTGATAATTTGGCACTGTCTTAAGCATGAGGCTCAAAAGACCTTCAGCTGTTTTCTAGAGCACACTTGAATGATGACACAAGTCTTTCCTCCCCAAAAGTGCTGCAAGGATACAGTCTTATACTTACAGCAACACAAAACTATTTAAGCCTGAGGGCTAAAAAATTCCCACAGCTTCAGGAAAAAAATTTAGAAAGAGTTTGAGAGAAGCAGCTGACTTGTTCATACCTGTTTGAGTTACTGCTGCTGAAGACATTCCCCACTTGCCTTGCCTCCATAAGCTCCCAGTGCAAGTCCAGTCCAGCAAAGAGCCAGTGAATTGGTACCACTGCTGGGGCCACATTCATTTGCCTTCAGAGAAAAATATTGATGGCCAGACCAGACTTTGTTGCTATTTATGTTACCAAGTGTTTACTCCCCAGACAGGCAGAACTTACTCTAATTTTTAGTCTAGGCCATGGCCAATCAATTTCCAAAACCAGCATGAGGATCATCAGCCTACTTGCACGCTAAGCTAAGCAGTGGGCTCCTTGGGAAGGGCATAGTGAGAGCTCAACCTGTTGTCCTCAGAGGACACACCAATGCTTTTCCAGGCACAAAGTGGGGTGAGCTGACCACCTTCCAGGCAAGCCATTCTTGCCAATGCAAAAATCAAAGCAGGCTGGGGTCATCTAAAACTTTTTCCCACCCAGTATATTTACTATATTTACTATAATGACCAGTTAAATCAGTAAATTTTATTGTGCTAGGGAAGACATGGTGTTCATGTGATTATTATTCATTCACCAAAAGATTCAAGACATGAGGGTAAGGCAGTGTGAACACAGAACATGGTAGAGGCATAGGTAGGACATAATTAAATAACAACGGTGTGATGATGTTTCTATGAAGTAGTGATGTTTTAGAAGGACATTTGCAGAATTGTTTTAGCTTCATATTATTGAGTTAACCTTGTGCAATATGACTATTTGCAGGAAAAGTCAAGTCCCAGAGGACTCTTTCAATTATGCTGTGACTGTAAGAGCACAGCAGGAGTGTCTACTTTTTATATTTGCGTAATGCAAAATAAAACCCAATGTGGAAGCAGTAGATACATGATCTTTTGAAGAACATTGTTCTGTGCAAAATTCGTTATTCAGCTCTGTTTTTTAAGTTGACTATCAGGGTGACACAGAGGCATGGCAATATACAAAGAAGTATAGCTTAGTCTTTGTTCTGTAGGTCAAGCTGAATTAATTTTAGCAGCAAGGAACAGACTGCTGACTAATTTCTTATTTTTTTCAAAACAAATAGTAATTCCCCTAATAATCACAAATGATAACAACTTAAGAAGCAAATTGCTACCTTTTTTTTTATTTGCAGAACAATAGGAGATCAACAAACACTACATATTTATCTTAATCTGGAGAAATTACAAGGGTGCAAAGATACAGTTGCACAGCTAAAACCAATCCTTTTCATGCTCTGTCTTTATATTTACAATTTTAGAAGCCTAAGACTTCTCTGTTTCCATTGTGATCTTTTGCTTCCCTGGGAAGCAAAATCTTTAATCCTTTTAGGCAGCCTCTGAGTTTTGCCAGCCTGTATCTGAGGTTTGTTCTGTGTCTGAAAGTAAAGCACTAGTGAAACAAAAAATTGTTTCACGAGTACATTCTTTATAAAAATGGTTTTGTACTGGATCCTTCCAGCCTGACATTACCACTCTCCCTTTGTTGTCTGCAACTGTATTGTCCTCTGTGTACACTCTGTGCTGCCAGGTCCTCTCCATTACAGGACTGCTGGTTTTACTGAAGCATTGGAAGATCAAAAGAGAACACTTTAAAGTTCTATAAAGTTTCTCTTTCTGGGGAGGAGATGTTCCTGTGTGCTTTTAGCTGTGGAATTCAGAAGAACACCCCAAAATTGTCCTCCTAGCTTTGCCTGTCTTTTAGCTTTGAATCAATAGCCCAGTTAACCAGGCAGTGAGGAATGGGAGGGGGAAGATGGACAGTCTTTACTTTTCTTGTGGAGGCTTTCCGCAGGTGCCCAGGTTGTGCATTTGGCTGGAGAAGTGGACAACAGATTCACAAAGCTGTAGTTTCATTTTGTGCAATATTATGAACCCCAAATGTTCGTCCACATGTGGATTAACCTTTGGCACTTGACTTAAAAATCATTAAATATAACAACAATAAAAAAGTAAATTTTCTTTCCCTTTATTTTTCTCCCTCACTTTTAAACCTCTGGATGTTTTCTAAACTTCTCCTTTCAACAGGGAAGATGAGCAGACAGTCCTGCTTAGTCACATGAAGCCCCAGATGTATGCATGACTCCTAAATCTACCCTTTCAGGAAAAAGCCCAAACCATGAAGTAATGAGAAACTCATGGCAATATTTGCAAACAGAAATGCTGAGTTGTTCCTAAATCTGTCACTGACATGGCTAGCAGCAAGTCATTAGCTAGGTTCCATGGGTCAGAACCTGCTTCTCCTCCTGAGAGCTTTCAACCCTAAATATCTACACACGCTTTTGTAACGTCATGTTGCTGTAGTGCTATGAGGTCCTGCTTAACCCTGCAGATAGTCTTTGGTCTTGAAATCTGGGCAAAATGGAAGTGATTCTCCAAGGTCTTTAATCTATTATGAGATTGTGCACATGCCACATTTAAAATAATTTGGTGAGTTGAGAGAAATGTACAGAAATAGATCCATGCTTCTGAGAAGTTAATTAGACCGATATGGGATCAAGACTGGAATAATGACTAACATTTATTATCCTTAGCAGCTCCATGGGCTTCTTTGACTGCCCCCATCAGTTCACCCAGGGAAGAGAGGAATTCTTTTGGCTAATCTGCGGTGCTGTCAATCTCCTCCTTCATTTAGCTCAAATGTCTTTCTGCAAATTCTCGTCTTCCCCAGAGGGTTTTAACTGGTCTCACAGGTGGAAGCCAGTGGAGGGGGGACACCTACCTTCTCCCATCCCAAAAGGTCCCATTTGAAAGTACGCCTCACACTTCATTTTGAGCAATTAAACCTGAGGTGCTATGAGGGATATTGTTTTTTCAGTACTGCTGGTTAGTTAAATGGCGTTTCACAGTTGGAACAATATTTTCTTTAAAATATTTGATGTTTATTATTTCACTCTTTAAGCAATATGGGGAGGAAAGGCTGTTTTATTTAGAAAGACATAGAGACACGCCAGTGATATATAAAAACAAAACCAGATTAATTTACCAATGTGCCACTCTTTGTTTTTAGGTATACAAAAAGAAAACCGAAGCTGCCAAGAAGGAGTATCTGAAGCAGTTAGCTGCCTACAGAGCAAGCCTTGTATCCAAGGTAACACACGATGTATATACATACACACATCTATATAGTGACATATTACAAACCATTTTCAGCTGAGCACCGCAGTATTTAGTGCAAATAGCCTTGTTTATTATCACCTTAAACTTGTGTTTAAGTTGCAAATGCTCAATAAACACAGTCATCTGTCCACATAAAGACATCCTTTCCCTCCTGGTCATCAAGACAGCACTCCAGTTTGGGAGTAACATGCCAGTTCCACAGGGGAAGGAGGTAGTGGTAAACAGACCTCCATATAACAAACATGCCAGGCAGCCGCTGTGCTACCTATAAGGGAAAATATATATATCATGCACATTGGTTTGGTTTTGTGGGTTTTTTTTAGTACTGCTTTTTACCTTGCAATCACAAGACAGAAATGGTCAAGTTCAGATGATATTGCAGATTTTCGTAAGAAATGTGAATTTCAATTTTATGTCCAGCAAGCCAATGTGAGCATGGCGTAGGTCACCACTAAGGCAATGGTGGAACATTCTTTACTGAAACACACCAAATATACAGCCAGTAGCAATTTTCTCAATAGATTTATTCAAACATTCTCAGTGCCCATGATTTTGCAGTGGACTCTTTAGAATTTGTAATAGACTTTTAAATATGCAGAAGAATGTGAAATTACTATACTGTGTCAATGTGAAAAACCCATTGAGCAACTTCAGAATCATGACAGTTAGAACCATTTGTTTTGGGTCTATCCAAACAAATTTAGATAAATTTTGTTCTTACTTAAATAAAATCAATTTTAGAGGTAAAGAGCACAGAATGAAGGACTGGCATATAGGGCATGAGAAAAACTTCTTGGTGAGTTTCAAAATATTTTTTGGGGCCCTGAACGCAATACTACTCTATATACTATATTAATTTTTCAGGGGGTTTGCTGTATATATGATTAGCTGTGCAAGGACTTTTCATGCATGTTTCTGCATTATCCTTCTATTTGGTCAGTGTTTCTTCTGAATTTAAAAGTCTGAAATAAGACTGCCACCTAATTCATTTTTGGGGGTTGTGTCCTATAACTTTCCATTTTTAGCTGCCATTATAAATACTCCTGCATTTAGTTAAAGTAATTTACAGTATACCTTTCATTTCTGTATTAGGACTGTTTGGTGCCAGAAATAATCTTTGCCTTCAGAAAGAGTACCCTCTGAACACAAGCAAATCTTCTTGAAGTAACTTGCTTATTGGCAAAAGATAGGTCTAAAAAGCTCAAAATATTCCAAGTTTTAACCCAGCTTTTCACTTGAGAAGATAACTTGGCTATCATTATTCCATATCATCATGGACTATTTACATAACACACTATGTAACTTAATTTTGAAATGCACAATATTGAAAATGTGATTTTTTTTTTTTTGTTTTTAACAATAAAAGAGTATATTATGGCATTTTCTGAAATTTGTTTTTTAGAAAAAATTTGGAAGACTGTTGATCAGTTCAGTGCATGAATCCATTAGTGCAAATATTCAAATTCATTGTTAGTCAGAAAAGCACTGAAGCATTTTCTTAACTTTTAAGCAATTATTTAAATTCTGCCCATAATGTAATGTTTTCCTCTAGTGTGGAAAGTATAAAAATATAAACTTAATGAAGCTGAGTACTGATTGCTTATTCCCATGAACACACTCAAAGAATCTAAAAGAGCTGGCATGTAACTAAAGCAAGTCCATTTTGGTATAAGGATGTAAAATAACCCTTTGTAATATAATATCAGTATATTCTACATTATCATTATTAAATATTTATATGGCACCAGAAGAGTTGTAGCTTTTTAGACAAGCCTGTAAGCATGAGAAAGTATATATAATACATAATTAAGTTTATTTGGAGTCAATGTGGTCTTTTATGTCCATGTTGTTACATTACCATCCATAAAAACTACTTTTAGATGGTATTATTAAGATTCCAAGACCTCATTATCAAAAGCTGAGACATGCCAAAAATAACACAATTTTTCCAAAAATTCTTTTTTACCATATTAATAATTTGTTCACAGATATATTTTGTGCTTTCTACCTCATTCTGTGGTACTTCACATTTATAATCAGGTGTTCACCCTGGATCTTCCTGAGTTATATTTACTGCATGTTGTTTAACCTTGCTGCTTTTCAGAATTTTCTGTGCTGCTAGTTCCAACAGTGCTTTGGTGTAAAGAAATTCTCACTAATACATGGGAGCAAGAAGTTTATACAGTCCATATTTTCAAACACAATTAAATAATTGTGAAATCAGGTTCTCATCAATTTTGTGTATTCTCCTTGGAACATCTTTTCTTCAAAGTATTTGAACAATATTAAGCCCTTCGTGCTCATAGCAGAGCTCCAATGACTTTGGGGTGGCAGCTATGAGATACTCAGTTATGCTTCCTATCCCATCAGGATATGCTTTGGCTATCCAGATGTTATCCAGTTATCAAACTTTCTTTCATATCCCCTCCTAGAGGTCTCTGTATGCAGGAAGAGGCAGGCACAAGGGGGAAATGGTTCTGCTCAGGTCCCCTCTGTTCAGCTCAGCAGGTGCCTTACACCTCCCAGAGCAGATGCTTTTCCTGTTTCTTATCTTTTTGACACTGATTCTGCTGCCTTTTTCATTAGGTATTACTGGTTTTTGAACTAGTGGGCATATGAGAGTCTGTGCATGGTTTTTTTCTGCATTTATTTACAAGTCTTCTCTTTTCTGAAAAGCAAGGACTGGACAAATGCTGTGTTCTACCTCAGTGGTCCAGACTTGGAGCTGAATTCATGGCACCCAACTTGGCCATTTGAGATTCCAAAATAGTCAAAGTAGAAGATTACAGAGGAACAGGGTAGAGTCTTCCTACTGCCAGGACACTTTCTAGCCTCTGCCTGGCAGCAGAATAATGAAATTCAGACACACTGGTGTTCATATCAAGCTCTGGGGTGGATGTGGAGCATCAGGTGGAGAGAGTGGCCTTCTCCATGACACTCAGCTCCTTGCCCCTTTACTCTGATTTTGTTCTCCCCTCCCCTCCCCGTTCACTGTTTAGAAAGCTGAGCAGTTCTGTTTGGAGTTTGGCACACACACACAGAGGTCACACACCCCCATAGTTTGTATCATATCAGACTGTGTTATTTGACAAAATCATAGCTGAAAAGAGTGGAAGTGTCACCAGCAACTCTGGTGATAGGATTGCCAGCCCATTTCTAGTACACTTTTAAATGCTTTCATGATGTCTTTGTAGGACATGTATGGCTACCACCCAGTGAATACGGTAAACATAAGATTCCATAAATATGTCAGTGTGCATTAATTCCTATTCATTTATAAGTATATTTCCTGTATTTTCTCTTTTTTTATACTGGTTGAAATTAATGGGTGTGTTGTTGAGTTTGTTCACGTGTGTAGGAATTGATAGGTAAAGTAAAAACACATAACAAAGCATTATATATTCTGCTATGCAGATTGCCATATTGCTTATAGTACTGACTAAGCCTTTGCATTGTAAACAAGTGTCTTTATATTTGCCCTTAGTTGCAACTTTTAGTACTATTCAGGTCCAGAAATGCAGTCTCTGGTATCTGGTAATTTGTACAGCATTACATAAAATGCTGTGAATTGCAATTTTACTTTTTTTCATAAAACAAGCACTTTTTCTAGCTTAACCAGCCTTTTTTTGGCTGACATTAGATTTTTTGCTGCATCTTTCAAATATATATATTTAATACAGATGTATATGGGTAAATGTTAAATACTTTCATATATTACATAGGTTCATCTATGAATATTTATTAAAATATATATACATGTTATGTGTTCAACATGCATATTTATGTGCATATAAGTGTTACATACATGTGTGTTAATTATAACAGAACAACTGTACCTGTTTCAGTAGTACAAAAAAGATTTCTCATCCCTTTTTATTCTTTTTGACTAGATGAATCTTTAATTTTCTCTGTGTAGTGACACAATTTCAAGTTTCATGAAGTGACTATGCTGAAGCTAAAACCTCTCAGCAAGAGGAATATTATACAAATTCAAAATACTCAGGCATATTTCAAAACTCTGATGCTGTATCTAAGTCAAAGTGGTGTCCTCATTTGACTTTGAAGTGAACACATTGGACATTTTTCAGTTTTGTGGACAGTGCAAATCCTTTGGACATGTAAAATTGCTTCTTGAAACCTATGGCAGACTTAGTTTTTCCTAGTCCATCATCTTGCAGTTGTGGTTCCTAAGAAAACTAAAGGTCATATCTGTAAGGCTGACATTGCCTTAATGCCATTAGCCCAGCAATTTGTAACCAGAGAGTTCCAGGGACCCAAAGTATCTGTTACATTGCCTGTGTTGTAATAAAAATGACCAGCCTGAGGAATTCAAGTCTCTTAAAAACGCAGTGGACATAAATGAAAACTTTTGACCTTCTTGTAAAAAGTAATATGGAGACCATGATAAAGAAAAAATGAATACAAAAATCAGTAAAACAAGCAAACAAAAACAAAAAACCCAAAAATAACCCAAAATTAAAATTATAAAATTTGTATTACTTTCCAATTTCATATATGTATGTGTGAGACCATTTGCCTAACATATAAAAAAGCAAAAAGATATATTAGGTCTCCCTGATCATTCATTTTCCAACTCCTAAATAAATGTGTGTGTGCAGTAGTGCCCTCTCCACAATTTGTTTTCTGTAACTGCATAGCTTCATAGTGGCCAAGCTTCAGATGCAGGGGAGCACTGTATCCTGGCTCACTCCTCCCTGGAATAAGCAGCTGCTGGGGTTTAGGACATTTCTTTTGGGAATAAAATTCGTAATATCTCTTGACAAGAGTTAGTGACTGAACTGTCTTGTCTCCTGGTCAGTGCTTTAACAAGTTGGCTATTGCATGCAAGGAGAGCAGCATCCCTTCTGCTGCTGGCAAAAAGGTACCTGCTTCTGAGAACAGCTTTTCTTACATTATATTTAGCCCTAGTCTATGCAGATGTTTTTGGAATTTCATGAACCAGTTAGGTGT